GCGGGGGCCGGCGGGGGGCACGTGTTTCCAGGCCCCCCCACACGAGCCCCGCCAGAACCACTGCCCGCTGCATGCCCAGGAGGAGGGTGTGAGGGCAGCTGCAGGCCCATCGGACGGAACCCCCGCCCGAGGCAGTGGTGGGCGCCGCCTGGACAGGCCGCCGAACTGACAGGGCAGCTCCCGATAGGGCGGGGAGAGGGGCAGTGCGTCACGCCGTCGGTCGGTACCACCCCCTGCATGCTCAGGTCATTTTTTAAATCGTGAAGCGTTAGGGGCACTGGACTCCCACAGGGCTGACTGCAGTTCGAGTCCCGGACCAGGCAGCTGCTTTCTCACTTTCCCTCTTCCTCCCCATCTCCGTCTCTACTCACGTTAAAATGAAGTTAAATATAATAGTTTTTAAAAGGAAGTCATAAAACTTTCGAACATTTCTCTCTGTTTTCTGCCTCTCTATAAATAGTAATCTTTTTACTTAAATAAGTTTTTTGAAAGAGGTTTTTGCAAAAAAAAGAGAAAAAAAGGTTTTTGCTATAGGACGCGTGCACTCACCAGAAAGAGACAAACTGAGAAATCCCCCCCCGGGGGGATGACCACGCCGCAATCCCTTCTCCTCCATTCTCCTCTCGGGATCTTGGGCACGCACGCACACGCGCCCAGTGTGAGTTTAAGCCACCGGGTCCAGGATGCGAACCGCGGGCGACTACGTGGGAGTCCAGTGACATAGCCATTATGCTGACTGCTGGTCCCAAGGGTGGGCAGTCCTGATGGTCAGGATGGAAGCTGGGCCCATGACAGAGCCTCACCCACAGGGAGGGTGGACGGGGCCGGGAGGGGCCTCACCGAGGCCTCGGCATCCAGACAGGCGGCTCCGCTCACCAAACGCCCGAGGGCCCGGAGGGGCACCCCTGTGGCAGCCTGACCGAGGACACGTGGCCAAGGTCACGAGTCAGGGCCCGGTGTGGTGCAGTGGACCGGAAGTGGCTCCAGTATGTGAGCGTTGGCGGGGCCTGGCGGAGCTGGCCAGGAGGGTGGTGCTCTGCGAGGAGCCGGGCAGGGGTGTCTGTGCCGGGTCTGCCCGGCGACACTGCACCCTCGGCGTGCCAGGACGGTCGCGCTCTGCGAGGAGCTGGGCAGGGGCGACTGCACCGGGTCTGCCCGGCGACTGCACCTGTGGCCAGCGTGGCCCTGGCTTCCGGTGTACCATGGATCCAGCGCAAGTGCTGTGCGGGAGGGCTCTTGTTTTCAGTGGAGACTTCTTGAAGGACTTACCGGGCGGCAGGTGGTGTGGTTAAGGGCGCGGTTCGAGTCCAGGGCCTGCTGGCATGCTTCTCGTTTCCCCCCTCTCTGTCTCTCTGGTCAAGTTAAATAAAGTCAGATAAGACAGGGTGACCTATGACCTTAGTTCCTCTTGGTATTTGATTTCACTAAAGAGGACGGGAGAGCGAGAGTGACCCGCCAGGTCCAGTGCTCTAACCGCAGTCGGCCGTGTGGGGACCAGGTCCAGTGCTCCAACCGCAGCCGGCCATGTGGGGACCAGGTCCGGTGCTCCAACCGCAGTCGGCCATGTGGGAATCCCGTGGTTTCACCCAACATGCCACCTGCTAGCCACAGCGTTTTTCATTTTTTCTTTAAGCTTTTGTTGTAGGTCATGTGTGCTCACCAGAGAGAGAGACAGAGACCAAGACAGAGGGAAAGTGAGAAATCAGTCCTGGGGGCTGACCACGCTGCAGGCCCTTCTCTCCCTCTGGGGTTCTGGGCATGTGCGCACACCACCCAGCCACCCAGCCACGTGGGAGTCCAGCAGCATACAGGGGTGCGGGCTGAGCGAGCTCCCTCCCATCGCGCGAGCAGCAGAGACAGTTCCTGCACGTTGTTCGCTCAAGTTCGAGCCCGGGGTTTCTCCCGTCTGAAATGAGTCCGCAGAGCCGTCTGCCCTGGCCCAGCAGGCTGGGTGCCCACGGCGCTCTCCAGACCGGGCCGGGCCGCGGGCTTCCTGTGGGGCCTTGGTGTCCCTCTGTGGCCGGGGCCCAGGGGAGCCGGCAGGGTGGCACTGTCTGTCCTCCCCAGGCCCTGAGCCCGCGCCCGCGCACTCCCGTAGGACCTCAGTGTGCTGTGCTGGGCCGCGGGCACCCCCGTGGGCACCGTGCCGGCTCGGC